GATGAAAGCAACATGTCTGAACATGCAGGATCTTCAGGTTGGTAAACTTTTTTTTATTCCATACTTCTTTCTTAAGAACTGCCTGTCTTCCTTCTGGACTATTCTTGAATTCTAACATTTGAGCAAAAAATACAGTCTTTACTCTATGGTACTGCATTTTAGATGCAGTTGTGATAAAAAATAAATAGCGGAAATAGGCAGATCTTCCTTTTACAATTTCACCTTTAAAGTAGTACTGAGTGTCAATGAATGCAATGAGTAATACTAAATGAGCACTATGGTAATAATAATTAAATAACTGCATTGATTTACTTTGCTTAGGAGAATCCATCCTCAACATACAGAATTCTAAAGACTATCCACCTTCAAGATCACCATCATTTTCTATAGTTTCAGAGTTATCTGCTAATGATAGTGTTTCAGTCACATCATGTACATCACATAGTCACAGTATATCACCTTTAGCAAAAAGGAAAAAAACTCTCCATCATCCAGAAGCCACCATAGAGAAATTTGTGATAAGAACCAGCAGATTACAAAAAGAGGTAATTGATGAGAAAAATTGCCCGGTTTGTTTATGCAACAAACTCTCCTTTCTGTAGGATTGAGAACCCACACTTCATTAACATGGTTCAGTCATTAAGACCATGATACAGTCCACCCAACAGCAGATGTCACAGGCAAATAGTAGTATAGTATAAATAGCGTAGTAAAAGCTATAACAAACTGTGAAAAATAATTAAATGTCTAGTACAAAGCTTGGACACAGACTATGCTGCAAATGTATCCAAGATGAGAAGAAATTATTTAGAAGGGAGTGAGGAGAGTCCCAAGCTAATAACAGGTTGCAGCCCAGTCTGTAGCCTGCTGGGAAAGGCAGCAGGAAGGCAAGCAACCACCGTTCCTGGAGAAGGATGATTTTTGGCGCTGGTACACATACACTTAGAGAAGAGACACCAGAGCGGTAGGAAGTAATCCAGGGAAGGAACAGTGAAGGCAGAAAGAGGATGTCTAGAACTGCTGAGCTGAGTTGAGGGTCCCTGGACTGGAACTTGGAGAAGAAGGTGGGCCTGGGTTCCCCTACCAGCCACTGAGTGCATGGCATAAAATTGAGGCAGTGAATGGGAAGACTGCCTAAGATTGTTGAGGGACTATACCATAAGGGGGAATGCTGACTGACTTAGATGGAGGGCTAAGTTGTGAAGGAGATGCTGAGGGTCCTGGAGTGAGAGAGGCACTGCAGACAAGAGTTGCAGTGATGGTGTGCAAGCTGCAGGCAGGGGTGTTGGCCTCTTGAACTCCTCCCCAGAGTGACCAGGAGGAGGAGCTAGACCAGTGCTGAGTGGTGCACCCTATGATAGTGTTATGTAGTCTTGCCTAGAAACTCCCAAACCTGGGTCTCCTGGCACAAGCAGACTACACTAGCAGAGAATGTGTAGAAGACAATTTGACTGGTCCAATGAGTGCTCTAGATTGTAACATCTCAGAGTAGAGTGAAAGGAGCTTGGAGTTCAAAGGGGAAAAAAACCACAGACCGGGCTTTTCAGCAAAGGGGTCACTGGATGAGGGCTCTCAGAACGTATGTCCTCCCATTTGGTTTAAATGGAAGACTAGGGACTATGAAGCAAAATTGCCAGTTAATGGTATGTGACTACATGAGGTGCAGCAGCTACGTGAGTATCTCTGGTTTTGAGGCTGTAGAGGGTAAGTGGAATCATGCCTATGGAGCTACACTTTACTTAACTCTTGAATCACTCATGTCTGCTCTAATAGACTTGGGCTGAATCCAGAAATGATGCAGACAGACAACATGATTCTCATAAATTGTGTTCATGGGCTTCTTAGAGTCTAGGACCAGGTAGGAAAAGTCTTGGATTGGGGATACTAAAAAGCTGTCCTGGAAGTTGTCTTGGGTAGAACTGGAAGCATTTCCCACCTTGCAATTTCATCACCTCAAGCTACATGGAAATGTAGTCTGAGTGAACAGAAATGTTCAAATCCGATGTATGAGGTAAACTTCTTGTATTCTGATATGCTGGGACCTGTGTGGGGGAGAGAAGCAAGATCCTGAGACTGGTTTGTAGGGTCCAGTGTTCTGGGAACCTGAGTGCGATAAACTTTGCATCAGGCATAATACACACTACTGTAGCATGTGCCCACAACTAGAGGGAAAACAAATGAACCAGTGAGTAAAATCAAGTACATAAGTAAAAACTAGCCAATGAGAACAAAAGAATTGCCATAGTGAGCACACCAATAGTCCATGTAACTCAATAACCTCTCTCTTAGAGTGGCTTCAGTACCAGATGCTTCAGAGGAAGATCAAGAGATTTCACCCTCCAAGTAAGCAATTATGGAATCTGCCCTGGGGTGAGTTAGATATTGGCTCATGCCCTGAAACATGAAGATTTAGAAAAAAGCCATAAAGGAAATAATACATTAGATCAATATAACTATGAATGTTCTCATAAATGTCTAATCCTTTTTGTGATGCCTATTAAATTCTTGCCCTCAGTGATATCATATAGCAATTTGTTTCCTGGTCTAATTATGCATTGTTTTCAAAAAGTTTCCCTGTATCAATTTCAAATCCTCAAATGCCCTCTTACTCTTCTATAAAAAACAGGAATGCCTGGCTTGAGTTTTTTCTATACCATTCATTATTTTGTATATCCCTATTGTGTCCTCATCTATAGTTCTCCTACATGATGATTCGAATGTATTTCTCCATATATATATATATATAGAGAGAGAGAGAGTCTTGCCATGTCTTTAATTATTGTCACCAGTTTCTGAACCCCCTCTATTTCTACTATATCCTCATTAGGAGATAGGATGGTATCATAGGAAACTTCTGGCTCATCTGAGTCCAAACAGCCTTCTTCACCATGGTCTTCAGTCTGCATCCACTTGAATGGTTCTCCAGCTGTCTAGGCAATGAGGTAGTCTGGTGTTTCAAAAGGGCTTCAGGAAGCACTGATGCTGTCTGAGTTGATATCCTCATTATAAAGGGCATTTAGGACACCAGCTTTGAAGCCAAAGTTTCCAGTGCTGGGAGTACTGAGTTTCAGGATGTGAGCATGTGCCTTGGTGTGCAAGCTGCCCCCACCTCTCAACAACAACAACAACAAAAAGGCTTCAACAGATCCCACCCCTGCCAAAGCAGGGTGAGAAACACCTCTTACTGTGATCTTCATGGCAGCCTGATGGAGGTCCAGGAGTGACTAGGTCAGGTTGCTGAGCATATATCAACAGCAAGAATCACTTCTTTTTTTCTTTTCTGCTTTGAGCATGTAATAGCAGAAAGGAAAAATACAGAGGCTTGGTTATGGAGCTGCTTGGAGTCAGAGGTGTGTCGGGGAAAGCTGGCTCTCAGAGTGTCTCTACTTCTTGTATGGTTGTTGAGTGTATGCAGACCAACTTGACACCAGACTGATAGGAGTCTCTCTAGGGTGCCTTAATGAGAGTTTGGCGGTGCTTGTTTCTTCGTGTGGGGTGGCACCATTGCAAATCTGAGGCAGATGATGCAATTAACATGATCATCAGTCTGAAACACTCTTCTACTTCGCTGATGTTCGACACCATTGAGCATTCTTCCTTTCTCTGGGATGCCATACTCAAAATAAAGGAGAAAAAAGGAAGCTCATTTGGGTTAAAAGAAGAATGGACCAAACAAGTGCAGAATGTGGATAGAGGCAAAGGCTTCATATTTAACAACCAGACCTGACTAGAAGGTGAGGAATAGTAAAGGAAACCCAGAAAGTATTGCTAGATTCCTGAGGTAATGAAGACTAAAGAGGTGCAGTCTTCTGTGGAGAGTTCCTTTGCTGACTACAATTAAGTAACTAACTGGAATGTTTAGATCGGGGTGGGCAAACTTCTTGGCCCGAGGGCCACATCTGGGTGGGGAAATTGCATACAGGGCCATGAATGTAGGGCTGGGGTTGGGGTGCAGGACGGAGTGCGGTGTGTGGGAGGGGGGGGGTACGGTGTGCAGGAAGGGGCTCAGGGCAAGGGATTGGGGCAGAGATGCAGGGTGTACGAGGGGGCTCAGGGCAGGGAGTTGGGGTGCAGGAGAGGTGCAGGCAGGAGCTCAGTGCAGGGAGTTGAGGTGTAGGAGGGGTTTGGGGTGCTGGCTCCGGCCCAGGTCACTTACCTGGAGTGGCTCCGGGGTGGCAGCAGCATGCACTGGGGCCAGGGCAGGCTGCCTGCCTGCCTGTCCGCACTGGGGCCATGGCAGGCTGCCGCCCTGTCCCCCCCTGCTCCCGGAAGTGGCCAGCACCACATCGCTGAGACCTCTGGGGGAGGGGGAGCAGAGGGCTCCGCGGCCAATGGGAGCTTCGGGGGAGGTACTCACAGGCAAGGGCAGCGTGTGGAGCCCTCTGCCCACCTTCCCCCAAGGATGGCAGTGATGTGGTGCTGGCTGCTTCTGGGAGTGGTGCAGGGCCTGCAGTGCCACAGGGGTGCCAATCCCACGGGCTGGATCCAAAGCCCTGAGGGCCAGATCTGGCCTGTGGGCTGTAGTTTGTGCACTCCTGGTTTAGATGATGAGATTTATATACAGCAGGGGAATGGGAACAATGGCTATCCCCTACTGCAGGCCTCAAGGGTCAAATACATTGAGACAGGGCCATTCTGCCAATCTTGTGCTAAGAAGTTGGAATCCTGCACAGATGGTGGGTTCTTTTTTTATAGAAAATTTTCATGTATAACAACCCCACCAGACTTGTATGGATACTCATATAGATTTCAAATATTGTCCATGTTACAAATATAAAGCCAGTTAAAAGAAACTTATTAAAATTGTGATACATTTTGCATTTCCAATTTTCTGAACTGACAACAGTAGCTCTTTGAAATGTATTGTTGACATGTGTGAAACCACAAAGTCAGAGTTGATGAAGAAGGAGAATTGAGTTCAACTTAAAGACAAAAATGAGAGAGAGAGACCAGATAACCAGCTTGGGCTGATCATAGGCAAATCTTCTATTCCCCCAGCACAGATTTCCCATTTTTAATTAAATTCTTGGTTATTACATATTTTTACATCTTTACATACTCCTTGTATTAAGAATTTTTGTATAAGTTCTTATATTTGTTCTTTCCCCTTGTCCCCAGCTCCATATTTCCTTTTTCTCAGCTGTCTTATCTTTTCTTGTGTCCCTTTCAGTTTGTTGTCTTCATTGTTTCTGTTTCGCAGAACAATTTTTTTCTCCTCCAACTTCCTTGTTTTATATTCAGGGTCTTGCAGGTTGTTTCTGTTAGGAAGAGAAATGGATGATAAATAAACAAGTCCTGCTTCCCTGAACAAAGTAAGATTCAAACAGGAGGAAGTCTCTTTGCTCCGTGGTCCAAGGCCCTTTCCAGCTAGCGCTCTGCCCCAAAGCCCCCTCTCTTAGCTTTGTTCTCACTGTCACATTACAAGTGCTATGTCTGGTGCTTCCTTCTCTGTTTGCCTTTGTAATGTTTCTCCTATTCACACACTTTTGTGCATAAAGCTCTACCATACAATACCTAGCCCCCTGTGTTTGCTTTTCTAGCAAAGTTCCTTGTCCTGGGTCCTGTGTGTGTTGTGTTTGTGGTTCGTTTGTTTGTTTTTTTTGTTTTTTTGAGGTGGCTCATATTTCAGGTATCTTACTCCACAAAGGAGCTTAGCTGTTTTTTACGTTTATTCTGAATGAGGGCCTGCTGTTAAACTTACCAGCTTCAATGGTTTCACTCAAACCCTGGCATAAAAATATGGCTCCTTTCCTGTTTTGTATTCCTCATTCTCAATTTCTCTGTACTCTTTCCACTGTCATCTTCTCTCTCATATACTGTCCTACCTCTCCCACTATAAACTGTCACACATTCTTCTTTTTTATCCCAACTAATGCTCACTTCTGCTTCATGCCCCCCAGATCTTTCACAGATGCTCCACTGCCTGGCTTTCAAGTTTGAGTAACTGCTAAACACATGCAAACTCCCTAAGAATCTTCTCTTGCACACAGACTCCCTCCCCTGCACTCACCAAAGGTATTGACACAGGCAGGCTCCCCTCAATCCCAACCTACTTGGGATGCGTTACATAGCCTCACCTCCAAAAATTTATTTAGATTGTCTCTCTCCCACTATGAGCAATCTGTCCCTTCCTTGTCAAGTTCTACTTCCCTCTCTAGCCTATAAACATACACAGCCTCCAACTCCCTCATGGTTTTCTCATTCAAACCCTCCCAATTTAACCGATTTAAGTTAGTGATACAACTTTCTTGTGAAGACCAGGCCTAAGTATACTAGACATAATAAATACCAGTGCTACAATTTAAAGGAATACAATGGTTGAATGCTGTCTACTGAGCACTATTTAATTGTATATACTGTCATTCCATTAAATTTTTAGAAATTTAACTTGTTACATCTTGTCTCTCCTGACTTCAGTTCACTTTTTTCTGTTGTAGATCATGAGGGGTGGCTGGTGCCCAAAATCAGTGGTGGGACAACAGATACCATAGTAAAAAGAAAAGGAGGACTTGTGGTACCTTAGAGACTAACCAATTTATTTGAGCATAAGCTTTTGTGAGCTACAGCTCACTTCATCGGATGCATTCAGTGGAAAATACAGTGGGGAGATTTATATACACAGAGAACATGAAACAATGGGTGTTACCATACACACTGTAAGGAGAAAGAAAAGGAGTACTTGTGGCACCTTAGAGACTAACCAATTTATTTGAGCATGAGCTTTCGTGAGCTACAGCTCACTTCATCAGCTGTATACCGTGGAAACTGCAGCAGACTTTATATACACACAGAGAATATGAAACAATACCTCCTCCCACCCCACTGTCCTGCTGGTAATAGCTTATCTAAAGTGATCAACAGGTGGGCCATTTCCAGCACAAATCCAGGTTTTCTCACCCTCCACCCCCCCACACAAATTCACTCTCCTGCTGGTGCTAGCCCATCCAAAGTGACAACTCTTTACATAATCAAGTCGGGCTATTTCCTGCATAGATCCAGGTTTTCTCACATCCCCCCCACCCCCATACACACACAAACTCACTCTCCTGCTGGTAACAGCTCATCTAAACTGACCACTCTCCAAGTTTAAATCCAAGTTAAACCAGAACATCTGGGGGGGGGGTAGGAAAAAACAAGAGGAAACAGGCTACCTTGCATAATGACTTAGCCACTCCCAGTCTCTATTTAAGCCTAAATTAATAGTATCCAATTTGCAAATGAATTCCAATTCAGCAGTTTCTCGCTGGAGTCTGGATTTGAAGTTTTTTTGTTTTAAGATAGCGACCTTCATGTCTGTGATTGCGTGACCAGAGAGATTGAAGTGTTCTCCGACTGGTTTATGAATGTTATAATTCTTGACATCTGATTTGTGTCCATTTATTCTTTTACGTAGAGACTGTCCAGTTTGACCAATGTACATGGCAGAGGGGCATTGCTGGCACATGATGGCATATATCACATTGGTGGATGTGCAGGTGAACGAGCCTCTGATAGTGTGGCTGATGTTATTAGGCCCTGTGATGGTGTCCCCTGAATAGATATGTGGGCACAATTGGCAACGGGCTTTGTTGCAAGGATAAGTTCCTGGGTTAGTGGTTCTGTTGTGTGGTATGTGGTTGTTGGTGAGTATTTGCTTCAGGTTGCGGGGCTGATCAGGTAAGGTGAGCTATTACCAGCAGTGTTTCCCTAACTTACCCCTTCTCTGGGTTTTCTATTTTGTTGACTGGAGTCTTCCGTACAGCATCATGGGCTTTTTAAAATGTATTCCATCAAGTCAGGTGATACCTGTTCTCCCTCTATATAAAGAACAAAATTATTATTATTTTTTTAGAGCATTTTCATTCTCCATCAGGTAACATATGATCTGCAACTATGATCCCTCACCACAAATTAATTAGATTTTTCAAAGTATAAAACTGGCACACTAGTGAGCATGTCCCTTAGAGGCTTTTGGTGAGGAATGAGGGAGATTGGGGACAAGCTGAAAGAGGGAGAATCCTTTTCTTCCCTCTCCATAACCCTCTTTCTTAATGAAAAACTGGGAAACATTATAACCAAGAGAAGGGTGGAAGAAATGAATGTCCCCTTTTGTGCCTTGGTGAAAAATAAGGGTGAGGGAGATTGTGATCCCTGCTTAGTGCACACACACAAACTTATTCGCCAGTTCAACTCTTATCCCTCTCCTAGCCATTTCCCTTTCAATTAAGAACATCCAAGTTCCTTAACTATTTCTTTCCAGCCTGATCTCCCCCAGGCTAATCCTTCCTCCCCCTGCCCCCTTTTACCTGCAGGTAAGAACCCTCTCCCCTGCTTGCTCCCCACCCCCAAAAGCCCTTCTACTTCCAAAAATGAGAGGAGACCTACTCTTCACTGTTTTTGCTGATACAGACTAACAGGGCTACCACTCTGAAACCTTCTACTTCCAGATAACCTTCCTTCACTCTGGCTCAAACCTGCTACTCCCTCACAACTGAACCTCCATCAGAATCCCTAGCTCAGAAGCCTTCTTCCTCCCATGTACCAAATCTTCAGTCCTCATCATAACCATCCTCCCTGACTAGCCCCAAGTTCAGAATTCCTCCCATCCAGCCTTTCTTTCTCCGGTCTCAGAAATTCACCCTCACCCACCCAGTGCCTCTTGCATATTCAGAAACCCTTCTCTAGCCAACATATTGGGTTTAGAACTTCCACATGGCTGCTACTCTGAAACTTGTCATCTCCTACCTGTTGCTAAACCTGATGAAGCAGCAGGGAAGGACTGTGGCTGAAGGCAGCATGTAGAGGGGCCCCATATCTTGTTTTTAAGTCTGCCTTGCAGAAGCCTGTATTCCTGGTATCTACATCTGCTTCCTCTACTGCCTGCATCTTGTGTGCTACAGCAAGACCACCCACCAGGAGTCTGACAGTAGCAGCAAGTGATACGTGGGTAGAACAGCTACATTGAACAACGGCTACATTTGTTGTGCTCTCCATGCCAAAGGGGTGGCATTAAGTGTTAAAAATTCAGCTTGCCTGGTATCTTATGTGAGCCACATAGTATATTCAGATTCTGCAGAATCTAAACTTTCATTAAAAATTCTAGCTTTCATGGTTGCAAAAATAATCTTTCAAATGCAAACTGAGTATAAATGCAGTGCTGTTTTCCTGAATGTGCAAGCAGCCTGAAACAATGCCTTAGAGAAGTGTGAAGTTCCTGTCTGCTTAAATCTTTTTATTAATACTCGTATCTAACAATGACATTTTACATGTCTCTAACTATTTAATTGTTGATTTTTTTTTCAGATGGGATGGAAAATGGTGTAGGAGTGAAACTATATGGAGGGAATTGGGAATTGTTGCACATTAGACACTGTAAAGAGACCTAGAGGCAGAAAATATTGAGAGAAGACACAAAATAAGAGTACAAGGAAGGAAGAGGAAATAGAGGGAACAAATAGCACTAGTTGGTCCTAAACAGGAGAAGCATTTCCCGAGTGATGCTGTATGTGACTTAACACATAATTAAAAGTTTAGGTATTAAAGGCCATATTCTACTACTGATTTTTGTGCAAGCCTCCCAGTAAGATGATTGGGAATTCCACAGTAGATTTAGAGTAGTATGTAGAACTAAATTTAGAGCCTGAGCCCAAATTAAAAGTAGTATTCAGGCCTCTTTAAAGAATGTGCATGGCACCCTTACTATAGACACTAAATACCATCTGTACTATGGCTGCCAAATTGAAGCTTTACAGTCCCTAAGGACTGGACACTCAAATTTTTTTTTTGGGTCTGTCTTCAGTGCGTATTTCCTCCCCTCAATCCAACCTTCTTATTCATTTCTCTTTATTCCCTACATCCTGTTATCTATCTTTTCTAACATTTTTGTCCTCCCCACCAATCTTTCTCCCAGTATCCTACTTCTGCTGTCTAATATATTCCCCCTGCATCTCTCCCTTATACAGATCCACTCACAAACCGGGATAGCTGGTAAATTTTTCTGTGTAAATGCCAGAGAGCTAAACCTGCTAGCCCAAGCCCAAAAGAATATGTAGGAACTATTTTGTGCAGAAAAATGCCTCAGGGAGATGTCAACTCTCCTTGCAGGAAAAGAGGAAGACCCTGGGCCTCCCTCAGGTGCTTTCTCTGGAGGACCTTATCTTGCCCTAAACTTGCTGGCTACACACAGTAATAGATGGGTTAGGTTCTCTGCTATGCTAAGCCTGCTGGGTGATGCAAAGTTCCAGGTCTGCTACCTTTTCCTTCTAATCTCCACCTGGGGTCTCCTTCCTACTAGCTAGCTGCAGGGCTACCTTCTAATATTGCTCAGTGTTTGTTTTTCTTTGAGGGGGCTCTGTAGAAGGTTTCTTAATAGCTGCCATTGCCCGGGCCTCAGCTTAAGCCTGAAAGGTTAGTCCGGCAGCAGAGGTACTGGAGCTGCCTGCAGGTCCAGGAAGGCAGCGCTGCCCCTCAGCTTATCCTCCCGTAACGCGTGGAAGGGTTTCTCTCCACAACTGAACACTAGAAACTTCTTTGCCTGCTGCGGGAAGAGGGGGCGAGTGCGGCTCCTGCCTGCTGGCGCTCATGCGCCAGATCCCGCTGGCTCAGGCCCAGGGGCAGCAGAGAGGAGGCACCTCCCGCCGCGGCGCGCAGGGTGCTGGGCCTAACGCCTGGCGCTCCAGGGGAGCCGAGCCGAGTCCAGCCAGGCGCGGGGCGCGCGCCCCCTCCGGAGGCTCCCCTGGACGACTCCCGCTGCGGCGGCGGCACCTCTGAGTTCATAACGTCACACGATGGTGGAACGAGGGAGGGAGAGAAGCACCAGTTGCCAAGGCAACCAAGCCCCTCCTTCGCCCATTTCTCCCCCTTCCTCACGTCAGAGCGGCCTCCCGCCTGGCGGAGGCGGGGCGCCTCCCGGCGTGATTGACAGTTGCCACAGTAACAGGCTTGTCCCGTCGCCATTTTGTCAGTTGGGTTTTTTTTTTTTCAAATAATTTCCCTTCCCGCCCGAATTATAATTTTACCCAGGAAATTGTCCTCGCGGGTTTTGGGGGCTTCACCCCTCGCGGGCGCAGGGACAGCGGAGAGGGGGCGCAGGGGAGGCGGCAGCGCGGGCGGGCGCGGCAAGGAAGGGTCCGGGGTACAGCCCTGGAGAAGCCGGCTCGGAAGGGGGGAGGGGGAGGAGCGGGGGGGGCGGGCAAGTGAGCGAGGAGTTCCCGGGGGCTCGGTTCGGCGCTGCGCTCCCCCCCGCTCGCTCGCTCGCTCTCGCGGCTGCCTCCGCTCTGCCTGGCCGGGGCTCCCAGGCCGCCGCCGCCGCCGCCGCGTCCGGGCCCCGCTGCCGCCGCCGGTCGCTGCGCAGGTTTGGAACGCGCGCCATTTTGTGAGCGATAGAAAATCTGCCCGGCCAGGAAGCGCCGCGGATCCGCCCGCCGCGCCGGGCCCCCCCTGAACTCCCCGCGAGAGGGAGGCGCGCTCTCTCCGGGGCCTGGGCCCCGCACCACACCGGGGCCCGAGGGCGGCTGGGCTGCGGAGCGGAGGTGCTGCGGGGCCGGGGCCCCTGACCGAAGGGGGGAAGCGCTCTGCCCCGCCGCCTCCCCGGAGCTTGAGAGAGGAGGCCTCTGCCGGGACCGGCCCCCCACGGCAGGAGAGCAGTGGCCACCCCCCCAGCCTGGTAAGTGCCCTGGCCGGGGCCTCTCGCACCAGGCCAGCAAATGCCATCCCCTCGGCGTGAGGACAGCCCCGCTGCCATCTTAGAGAGAGGGGCCCGGGGAGTCTCCGCCCCAGCCTGCCGGGCCGGGGCCCGCTGCACCCGCGCAGCCCAGGGGAGGCTGGGTCTGGCCGGGCGGCCGCAACACCCTTTTCTCCCTGGCGTGAAGGTGGCGGGCCCCCGTGCCCGGGAGAGGCTGCTCTTGTCGGTGGGGGTCGCTCCGCTCGCGGGGGCTGGGAGAGCAGGGAGATGATCCCGACTGTGCGGGGGCGAAGGGGCTGGCAGGACTCTCCGGTTCTGACCTTACGATAGGTGGGAGGTGTCGGACTCTCCCGCTGCCCCCCAAGGCCGGGGGAAAGAGTCAGAAGTTTAAGAGAGCAGGCACCTGTTGGGGTGGTGGGTTGAGGTGCCCCCTCTGCACTCGGGTAAGTGGCTTCCATGGCAGGTGTGGAAGTTGGAGGTGTGGGTGGTGAGAATACTTGTGTCACGTTACTGTCATTCTGGGGCACCCACAGTGTGCACATCTTCTAGTTAGACAACTGGCTGCAATCTTTTAGGGATTTTGCTCTGTGTTGGTAAAGAAACTAGAAACATACATTATCCACTTCATACAGTGAATGTTTTTGCTGAAAAGCAGCTCTTTCTCTAACAAACTCTCAAAACGCAACCAGGTGCTGTAATTAGACATTGCAGTATTGATGGGTTTCTGACTCTTAATCAACTTTGAAGTTTCCAGGTTAGTCTTTCCAAGGACTATATAACGATTCTTTGATCAAGAGTCTTGAATGCTGGTGCTGCTTAGTTCTTCCATTATTCCCCAGTCAAGAGAGAAAAAAATCAAACAGATATGTCTTTTCTTTTAAGCTAATAAACACAGAAGATCTGTCTACAAAAAATCAACAAGCATAAAATATTTTTTTACAGCAGACTTTTTTTCATCCCAGTCATAATGTGCTATTAAAATAGCTTGTGTTTCTAAACACTTGCAAGGAATAACGTCACTTTTATGGGGACGCTCTTCCAAGGTTCTATACAAGTAGAAGTTAGCTGTTTTATCGTTATATTGATATCTCCATGTTGTGGCATCAATTTCTTTAATTTATTTCCAAATTAAGAAAGCCTAATCCTGAATTAATCTGATAAAGCATTAACAATTTTTTTGTAATAGCGGAATACTATTGAAATAATTATACTCTTTTGGGTCTGATGTTTTAGTAAGTACATTGCAATATTCAAATGTTAGATGTTACCTGCTTATTGACTACTGTTTTTCATATATTTAGTGAACTTTGTAAATACATAAACTATTCTGTAGACTGTCCTTAGTATCATCAGTTCATACGAATGAGGTATCTACAACTAGGGTGTTTTTTGTATTTGAGCTTTAAAGTAATTAACATATATGCAAAAAGAAAAGGAGTACTTGTGGCACCTTAGCTTATGCTCAAATAAATTGGTTAGCCTCTAAGGTGCCACAAGTACTCCTTTTCTTTTTGCGAATACAGACTAACACAGCTGTTACTCTGAAACCTAACATATATGGTGCGTTAGGTTTGTTTTCTTTCCATTAATTTTTTTTGGCGTTTGTTTAGCACAAGTGTCTGAAGCTTAACATCGCTTCATGCATGTGTCTTGAAGTTAATGTGTAAAGTTAATGCATCTGGTATAGGAGTTGAATATGAGAGAGCTATTGCTTTTATAATCTTACTAAAAAGGACAGTTCCCTATTTCTAGATACTGTGCAAGTGTTTACTAAATGAAAGTGCTTTGATATTGTTTCCAGGCTAACGAAAAATGTGTAGGACACAATTTGTTATGTCAGTAACAGTATTACAGTTCCTGAAATAAGATTTGTTTAGGTTTAGAACTTATCATCTTGGTTTTCTTAGTGTTGGCAACTTGAGGGAAAGAGGAGTGAGTGAGGATGGTTTTAGCAAGTAGTAGTAGCAGCAAAGAGATTTCTCCGATACTTGTGCTTCAAAAAAAGTCCAGTGACTTGTAGATAGTAAGGTGTAATGATGTGGTCTTTTAAGCATCTATCCATTTTTGAAAGTTTTGGGCTCTGTGTAGATGTGAGAACATGTTAGCTAATAGTCTGGACAAGGTGCACTAACTTGACCAGGTTAGCATGTATTAAGTAAGCCATTGTAACATGTCTAGACTAGACTTTTAAAAAAAGTTAGCATGTGTTTTCTAACATATGCTAGTACCTCATCTTTAAATCTTAGCCTAGAAGAGGGCTCAGAGAGAAACTTGTAACTGAGTTAAAACCTCTAGACTGTCTTAATAGGCAAAAGAGTTGTGAGGTGTCTATCATGTTAACTCAAATGAGATAGCATAACAAGATTGAAAAGCTCTCCTTATGCTCGTTAGGATGCAGGCTAAGACATTTGAAACTGCTAACTGGTTCTATTTTGGCATTCTACCTAAACAGCTTCATGTTCAGCATGGCTTTTCAATCATATTCAGCTAACTTAACAGGAAAACATACTTTTTATCTGTCAAGACAGGGCTTTATAGCTACATTTCTCTTAATAGAAGAACTGGGTAGTGAGCTAAAACACAAATGCTTCTCTATTAAATAGTGCTATAGTGTGTCTGAATTTTCCTTTTAAAAGCTCTTATTTGGAGGCGTTCATAATTGATACGGTCTGTTTTTATCTGAAAGTTGGCTCATAAGGGCTCAAACTTGAAAGCAACTATTGAAAATTAGATTTAAAAATAATTTAACATATTAGTGCAGTTTCAGTGGCTTTTTGGCCTTCGTATAACTTAAATGACACAGATTTTTAAAAGATGATCATTTGGAAAACTATTTCTCCATAATGAGACCCTAAATGCTTTTGGTATCTTTCTATTTTTGAGAATGCTGGGAAACTTGTAACACTTCTGAGACTCTGAACTTTTACAAATGAATACTGTTGTTGTGCAGTAACTTATTATTTTTATAGTCCTATCATAATTACTTTTGTCTACACACTTGATTAAAATGGGTTGGGTTTATAAATCACTTTAAAAATGAGTAGTATTACACCTGTTTTTCTTCTTGAGTAGGAGTGTATTAGGGCAACCTTAACTTTTGACTGACTTTGGTTGTGTCATAAATTCATCTAACTAAACTTTTTTTAAAAACATCAAAAGGTTTGGATATACTGTGGTGGTTTTTGCTACAAGAATGTCCATTTGGGAGATTTTCCTATTGAAAGCTTTCCAAATTGTGTGGTGTGTGTTTTTGTTGTTGTAAATCTGTGAGAAAATAAGGTAACAAGTAATTATGGTAAAGGGAGTATATTCTTTGGCCACTGGAATGAGAGAGGAATTATGTCTAGTATATTTAAAAAAATACCATTTAAAAAAATTACATGGAACAATTTCCAACACGATCTGGACACTCTTCAGAAACAACTAACTATACTGTTAAGTGAGAATATACGTGCAATCTAAAAATACAGTAACACTTTTTCCCAAGGTGGTGAGGGAGACAGGTCATCCCCATAAAAGCTTGAATGGCTTTATTATCAACTGTACAACATGCTTTCATGTAACAGTTCGCTAGTGGTCTCCAAATATAACCTATTTGGATCATCTTTTCTCTTTTAGGGATGAAAGATTTAATTCCATTTTCTTTATCGTCCTCCATCTCTCCCGAGCACAACTTACAAAATTTACCAACTTATAACTTCTTTTCCTATTACAGATATATATTTTGATACTTTCAGTAAGTCTTCATTGCAGAGTTCACCTGTGTTTTAACCCAACCTCCGGTCTACATACCATTGCTTGGAGGTTTAAGCTTAGGCTCTGCTTTAGCTTAGGCTGGAACCTGTCCACTTTGCAATGAGGATGTAGGCTAAATTGCGCAAGTGCTGATAGTCTCCCCACAATTCCCTGTGAAGACCAAGCAAGTTCTCCCAGTTGACTGTGAAAGAATCATAGATAATCTTAGTCCAAACAGAACATGAGAACAGCCATACTGGGTCAGACCAAAGGTTCATCTATTGCAGTATCCTGTCTTCCCACAGTGGCCAATGCCAGGTGCCTCAGAGGGAATGAATAGAACAGGTAATCATCAAGTGATCCATCCACTGTCACCCATTCCTAGCTTCTGGCAAACAGAGACTACGGACACCGTCCCTACCCATCCAGGCTAATAGCCATTGATGGATCTATCCTTCATGAACTTATCTAGTTCTTTTTTTAAACCATGTTATAGTCTTGGCCTTCACAACATCCTCTGGCAAGGAGTTCCAAAGATTAACTGCATTGTGTGGAAAAAATACTTCCTTTTGTTTGTTTTAAACCTGCTGCCTATTACTTTCATTTGGTGACCACTAGTTTGTGTGTTATGAGAAGGAGTAAATAACACTTACTTCTTTATTTTCTCCACCCAGTCATGATTTTATAGACTTCTGTCATATCCCCCCTTAGTCGTCTCTTTTTCAAGCTGAAAGGTCTCAGTCTTATTAATCTCTCCTCATATGGAAGCCGTTCCATACCCCTAATAATTTTTGTTGCTGTTTTCTGTACTTTTTCCAATTCCAATATATCTTTTTTTCAGATGGGTCGACCACATTTGCTCTCAGTATTCAAGATGTGGGCCTACCATGGATTTATATAACGACAATATGATATTTTCTGGCTTATTATCTATCCCTTTCTTAATGATTCACAACATTCTGTTCCCTTTTTTGACTGCCGCTGCACATTGAGTGGATGTTTTCAGAGAGCTATCCACAATGACTCCAAGATCTCTTTTTTGAGCGGTAACAGCTAATTTGGACCCTGTCATTTTTGGGATTATGTTCTCCAGTGTGCATTACTTTGCATTTATCAAGATTGAATTTCATCTGCCATTTTGTTGCCCAGTCATCCAGTTTTGTGAGATCCTTTTGTAGCTCTTCGCAGTCTGCCTGGGACTTACCTATCTTGAGTAGTTTTGTATCATCTGCAAATTTTGCCATCTCACTGTTTATCCCTTTTTCCAGATCATTTATGAATATACTGAATAGGACTGGTCCCAGTACAGACCCCTTGGGGACACCACTATTTACCTCTTTCCATTCTGAAAACTGACCCTTTATTCCTACCCTTTGTTTCCTATCTTTTAACCAGTTACCAATCCCTGAGAGGACCTTCCTTCTTATCCCATGATAGCTTACTTTTCTTAAGAGCCTTTGGTGAGGGACCTTGTCAAAGGCTTTCTGAAAATCTAAGTACACTATATCCCCTGGATCCCTCTTATCCACATGCTTCTTGACCCCCTCAAAGAATTCTAGTAGATGGTGAGGCATGATTTCCCTTTACAAAAACCATGTTGACTCTTCCCCAACAACTTATGTTAATCTATGTGTCTGACAATTCTGTTCTTTACTATAGTTTCAACCAGTTTGCCTGCTACTGAGGTCAGGTTTACCAGCCTGTAATTGGCGGGATCACCTCTGGAGCCCTTTTTAAAAATTGGCGTCACATTAGCTAATCTCCAGTCATTTGGTA